TTCATTTACGTAAATATATCGTTGATTTCTTTACGACGACGTAAATATATCCACTTCTATTAAATTGTGTAGTATTTTATGCTTGAGAAACAGAAAACAGCTTTGAATTGTAATGCACTCCATCATGTTGGAATTCAATATTTTGACAATGACATTATGTTCTGGTGTATATGTGGACTCGTATATGGACAGCCTAGCTAGGCCCCCTAGCTTGGGGATGGGAAGGGCTTGCCAGCCAGGTCCCCTATCTATACTAAAGTTACATCACAAAGTCTAGGCTAGGCCTAGCTATACACAATGACATTATTTAGGTAGACAGGGCCTAGCCTATACACCGGCGAAAAATATAATAGACAAACCACGTAGGATATGCCTTATAAGTACTATTACACCAGACCCAATCTCCTGAAAATGTATACCCGTTATTTATTAACACAAAAAGTAACAAAGAGAAGTCTCGCCAATTTTGTTTCGAAAATCATGAGTTTATTTTAGTTTGTACATTCTGTTGCGAAAGTGTGGTGTGTGCACCTTGTTAATTAAATATATATTTATATATAATTTTCTGTTACGAAGAAGTTGAATGTTCTCTCATACCCTGAAAGGGGTCCGTTGTTTTAGAGAAATAAAGTATATTGTCCATATTCGGTAGGAGTCTGTCTAACGCAATCGGTGCAGTCTTTAATTGTCACTAGCAATATTTGATAATTTTCACTCTAATTGACCCCTGTGACATTTGATCTTTGACCTTAACTGACATTAAAACGATATTAAATATATTTTATGTCCTATGTATCATACGTAATGATTTTGAGCTACGTATCAAAAAAATATGGAAAAGAATAAAATTTGACCTAGAACTTTGACCTATGGGTGAAGAGTATTTTTTCGTGTTGAGAAGGTCCTAAGCATCATTCCTATTAAATATTTTGAAAATTTTACCCCAATGACCCCTATGTGACCCCTGATTCCAGACTGGGATGTAGGGGGTGTCACTGTTTCCTAATGACCAAATGTGATTGAATTATTATCCAATCGTTTGCCATTAGGTTCATTTTGAAATCTTACCAGATAGAAAAAAAAAAGAATAATCCTTCATTGACCTTTGACCCTAAATCATTGAACACAATAAAGACCCTACTTTATGCCAATGCATGTGTACCAAGAACAAGACTGTGCTATGTTATTTCATCTTGAGGATATTTCCCGTACGATTAAAATCGTAACGGTACTGAGTTTGGTCTACAGGAGTTCGTGTTTCGTAGGTCATTCCATTCATAGAAGAAGCCTTTTGATGGAGAAATTGTACCTTTTTAGGAAAGGTTTGCCTAGGTTGAAACTAACTCCGGCTATATGAAATTGATTATAAGATTGAAAAATATTAATCTTATTATTGTGTAATACTATGTACATGTTTTAATTATTGTTATTTATTCGTTAACGCTATTATATTTACATCTAAATTTAATGTATTGTTTAAGTATGAATGTTAATTGTGTTAACTTGAATGAATAAATAAAGATTACTACTATGTCCATTTTCATGAAAACATGTTAAATTAACATGTTAAATAAAGACACAAAGTATACATAGACCTATTTCTAGAGAAGGAATAGATAAAGATTACTACTATGTCCATTTCCATTGATCTAATCTACGTGTTTAATTTCATAGTTTATATTTAAATATTAAAAATTGTTTACAAATTTATTTAATAAAACACTATATGAAATAATGTAATCATTAAAATTTATGATAAAAATTGATATTTAAATAAAGCAAAAGAATTGTTTACAAATTTATTTAAAACACTATATGAAATAATGTAATCATTAAAATTTATGATAAAAATTGATATTTAAATAAAGCAAAAGATTGAAACATGTTAAATACAGACACAAAGTATACATAGACCTATTTCTAGAGTACAGTTAAAATATGTAAATCTGCATATTTACGTGTTTAATTTCATTATTATGCATTATTATACATTATGTCAGCAGTGTTAACGGCTAACTTTCTTTAATATCATATACAATATACGACAGCATTTCGTATAACTCAATGAAAAAGACGATGAGATGTCAACGACTTGGTAGACTTAGAACACAAATTTTGTTCAAAACATGAATGTTTCAACCCGTCCTCGGGTCTTCTTCACACATGCTGAAGAAGACCCGAGGACGGGTTGAAATATTCATGTTTTGAATAAAATTTGTGTTCTAAGTCTACCAAGTCGTTGACATCTCATCGTCTTTTTCATTGAGTTATGTATCTAAGGAACA